TCTCTCTCTCTCTCAAAATCAAGGAATAAATTTTTTTTTAAAAAAAAAAGGGGGGGTGCCTTAGCCAGGCACCACTGTGAAGAAAACGGAGACCATCGGAAAGAATCTCCACGTCCGGCCTCTCTCCCACTCAACATCCACACTTGCATCAGCCTCACTTGCTCGCGCTGGTCTCCGGGGACGCTGAGGGACAACCCTCTGGCGCTCCCATCCCCCGGCCACTGGATCCCCAGCAGGATGATGCTCCACAGATTTCTCCTCCCTCTCATGTATCACCTCTTCTCCTCAGCTGGGTCTCTCTTCAGCATGTAACCATGTCCAACCAAGCTTCTTCTAGCTTTAAAAAGGAAGGAAAAAGAAAACAAAATCTCCAGCGGATACCCTGTTTTCTTCCTTCCCTTCCCAACCCATTTGCCAATTCTTCCCTCTCATTTACTCCTTTTTTTTTTTAATCTTCACCAAGGATATTTTTCCCATTGATTTTTAGAGAGTGGGAGGACGGGAGATGGGGGGAGCGGGTTCCTTTTGTTAAGTTGTATGAGTTCCCTGTATACACCTGCCATTTCTAACAGAATTTGGGCATGACTAACTTGTGCCCTACCAGACTGCAGCACAATCCAATCATCCCCACCCCAACTTGCTTCACCAAGCATTTGCCTAAGGCACTTCAAACTTGTACATTTCCCACAGTTCCATCATCACACTGAGAATTCCTCCAACCAAAGCGCAGGCAGGCAGGCAGGTAAGCAATGAGAGGTTCACTGGGCTCCATCTGCAAGTTCCATCTACAAGGCATCGCTCTGCATTACGACATCAACGTTAAAATATTCCATAGCTTAAGAATCTTCTGGAAGCAAGGTTCATAGCAGAGAACTAGCATGACAGGAAGCTCATTATAGAAGCAGCGTCTGAAAACCTCCACCCAGAAAAAGGAGGGGTGCCTACTGGCATTCATGTGCCTAGAGGTTGGTGCTCCAAGATCAAGATTCAAATAAACGCATCTGCTGGTGGCCCGGATGCACCTGATTTGGACTTGAAGACTGCCTGACTCAGAAGCTCATCTGAAAACCTTTAAGGATGGGCTCCTGAACACAGGGCTTCCTGAGCAAGTCCTGGAAACACGCCATTGAAGCACTTCCTCCTCCTCAGACTCTGGAAATTCAATCTGCAGCCATCAATTGAGGGGAGCTCCCTCCTCCAGGGTCTCCCCTGCTGCTCTGCTGCGACTCACACTGGCCAGGGGCATGTCTCCTGGTGTCATCTGGTCACCACAAGGAACACAGGTTACCGAAAGCAATGTCTTAAGTGAATGGATAACCTCGAGAGAGTTAAAGGGAGGAGGAGGGGCAGAGTGAGCTAGCACTGAATCTACAGGCAAAGTCCAAAGGGGAGCACTGCCACCACCCTGGGCCCGAGCCCTCAGCCCGAGAAGCTAAGCTCAATTTCCACAAGACCAGGCTCCTCCCCAGGCGAGTTCACACCCCAGGGTCAGGCCACCGCTCAGCGCAGAGTGGGGCTGAGTCGGGGGGATTCTTCCACCACCACCTGAAAAAACATCCACCCCCACACCCCTTCCCTGCCCTGGCTGTGTGCTCGGCCTCAGGGGCAGCCACCATCCTCAGCAGTGACCAGCAGATGTCAAGGTCACACCTGGGAGGCGGGTTCCATGGGGGTGGGGGGAGTCCCCTTTTCCTCTAGAGGTGGTGGGGGTCCCACCGTCCCCTGAGAGAGCTCATGTACTCTTCACCTCACTGTCATCTAGCTGGCTTGGGCCCTCCATACTCTGCAGCAACAATGCCCAGGCCAACCAATTCTGTAGGCGGTTCCATCTACCCGGATTAGCGACTCAATGGGCTCTAAGACCATCCCCTTCTTCCTTAAACCCTCCGCTCCCTGGCTTCCAGGGAGGCACTGTTACTGTTGTTCCCCACATCCTGCTTTGTCCTCCTCCTCTGTGCCCCTCCGAAATGTTGGTGGTGCCTCAGGATTCCGCTCTCAGCCCACTGCTCATGCAGCGCCCTCTGCTTGGGCAACCTCATCTGCTCTCTCTCCTATTCACACACTCACGTGTAGATGACACCAAATGTGCAGCTCCCCTCCGGTCTATATGTCCACCTAGACCTCACACCGAAACGTCCCAAACTGAACCAGCACCTTCCTGCCTCCCTCTGGTTCCCCACATGGTGAACGGCCCCGCCCGGTCACCCATGCTAGAAACCCAGCAGTCATCCTGGATTTCTCCTCCCTTTCACTCCATATTTAATCATCAAGGTCTACCAACTTTTCCTTTCCGATACTTCCCAAATCTAGCCTCTCCTATCCTAACCGCTGCCGTCCTAATTAAATCCTTATCTTCTCGCACCCGGGCTATTACAACCGACTAATCTTTCCCTCTTTAAGGGTTTGTCCACAGAGCAGCCAGAGGGCCCCTTCTAGAGAGTAAATCTGATCATCACACTCCCAGGTTGACCCCCTTCAAAGGCTCTCTGATTCCTTTACAAGGTCTTAGTCATGGCCAGCACCTCCCTCTCATCTGCAACCATTCATTACCAAGCATTTGATACCTCCCTGCTTTTGCTTCTACTCCTGGGTATGCCCTTCCCAACACTGCCCGACTCTAACTCCCTCTTCTCAGACTCGGCTTAGACATCATGTTCTTCAGAAAGCCTTCTCTGAACCCCCAGAATGAACCAAGGGCCCCTTCTTTATGCTCCCAATGGCAACTGTACATCTCTCCAACATAGTTATAAAGTATTTTATTCTAAATTAAAGGTGTATGGGTCTGTCACCCCCACTAAACTCCTCGGGTTCCAAATTCACTTCATTTCCACTGCGAAAACTGTACTTGAACTGGGATATATATAAGGGCCGAGTATTTTGGTGGCAAGAATTGCAGACATGGAGATGGGTGGTCAGAATGCAGGTGGGGTCCCTCAAACACAGGACTGGGTTTCAACTAATCAGGCCAGGTTTGGCATCCCTACAGGCAGGTGGGCGGACGGGCCAGAATGCCACACCAAGTGACCTCTAGCTCTGGGAGTCTTTAAACCCCTTCAAGCAAATTCCTCGGAGGCCTCCAACCCAGGCTATGGCCCCAGAAGGAAAGCGAAGGAAGGTCTGAGAAAAATCCCACAGGCCCAGTTCCCGAGGCTCTTCCCAGACTGGAATTCACAGGTGGAAAGCTGAGCTACCCTTTATGGAACCACCATCCACTCCCTGGCTCCTGGCCAGCACAGCACCAGACTGTCAGCTCACGCCAGGGCGCCACGCTGAGAGCTGCTCCTTCCAAAAGGCTCAGTGCTGGGTTCACTCTGATGCCCAGGGATCCACTGTGAGGAGGCAAGACGAGCAGGACCCTCCCGCCCCCAGGACCAGGAGAGCCACCCCCAAGGGGGAGGGAAGGTTCGGAGCAGAGCAGCAGCCAGGCACAGGGGAATCAGAGGGAAAGCGGGAAGGCAGAGCAACCAGGCCCAACAACCGGGGAAGCTGGAGCGAGCACGCAAGGGTCTAACTCAGGGGTTCTCAACCTTCCTAATGCCACGGCCCTTTAATACAGTTCCTCATGTTGTGGTGACCCCCAATTTCATTGCTACAAATTGAACATAATTAAAGCATAGTGATTAGTCACAAAAACAATATGTAATTATATATGTGTTTTCCGATGGTCTTGGGCGACCCCTGTGAAAGGGTCCTTCGACCCCCAAAGGGGTCGCGACCCACAGGTTGAGAACCACTGGTCTAACTGCATTTTCGAGGAGGAAAGGCAAGGCAGAGTATTTCAGGAATCAGTCTCAAGTTTCCTGCCTCCCCCTTCCCTAATTCAGTTCCCACCCTGCCAGCCTCGGCTGGGCTGACAACTTAGAAACAGCTCTCCTCCCATAGTCCCCAAGGGCTACTCGGGATTCTGTAATAAAGCAAATATCCACGTAGGTCCCAGGACAGTGGAGAAGGGCCTGGGCCTCTGCTACTCGGTAGCCCATCCACGAAGAGGTGGTTGGGCCAGTACTGCTGTCACACACCCCTGGGCGCACCCGCGCGCTGTGTTCTAAATGAATGACACCCTTGGCCACAACAAAGAAGTGAATGGCGCCTCCGGAGCTGTGCACCCTGGTGGCCCTGTCTGTGTTCGCTTCTGAGTTAGCATCCATCTCTCAGAGAGCAGATGGAAACCACATGAAAGGTGACTTTAGCCAGTTTCCTTTCACCACCTGCATGCACGGCTTGCTAACACTCGCCCGCATGCGCACTCTCTTTCTCTGCTTACCCATTGGAAAGAAAGCTGCAAACACTTCACCCCTAAATAATTCAGCCTGAACCACCTAAGAACTAGGACATTCTCCTATATTAACACCGTGCGACCCACAAACGGAACACTGACACAGTAACATTATTTAATGTATAGTCCACATGCAAATGATCTCAATCGTCACTTGGGAAGTTTTTCAAACATGCAAATTCCTGGTCCCTCTCCTGGAGGGTCTGACTCAGTGGAATGGGCCCTGGACTCGGAATGTTGCTACTAGTGAGCCCCTCAGGAGATTCAATTGTGCAGCCAGGTTTGACCCACTCACTAGGCTGTCAGAACTCCCAGGAAGACCAGGGGGGACTGTGGAAAGGAACCCCAAAAAGCACTGGTCAGCTGGTGAAGGAAGTGGACACGCTTAGGGCCAAGCAGGTCAGTGCCAGGGTCTACTCCGCACCAGGCACCAAACTCAGTCCACACAGCTGCCAAGCGATGGCTGAAGGCTGGCAGGGGAGGAAATGGGGTCAGGGCTGAGCCGCACAATGGTTCAGAGTCAAAGGGTGGAGAGAAAGGAGGCACTCCCTCAGTGAGCTGGGTCCACTCCGTCCTGGAGCCAGAGAGGGCGGCCCCGGGGGCGGCCCTGACAGCCATCCGCTGTGGGTGGACAGGGCTTCTTGCTGTGCTTCTGGAAGGAACCATATCGGTGGCTCTGCTTTGGATGGCCCAGCGGGTCTGGGTCCTCTTCTGTCTGTTTTCTGAGCCATAGAATTGGATCCCAGTGGGCACTGAGTACCGGCTACATGCCAGGCTAGACCTATAAGTATTCAGATGAGCTTATGATCTAGCAAAGGTGAAGGACATATCCATAAATATATGGATCCCCCTCCTGGGGCACAAAGCAGGGAGGATATCTTGACTCATTTTCACTGGGCAGGGAGAATGGAGAGCTATCAAGGAGGTGATGAGCCAAAACCGGTTTGGCTCAGTGGATAGAGCGTCAGCCTGCGGACTGAAAGGTCCCAGGTTCGATTCCGGTCAAGGGCATGTACCTTGGTTGCAGGCATATCCCCAGTGGGAGATGTGCAGGAGGCAGCTGATCGATGTTTCTCTCTCATCGATGTTTCTAACTCTCTATCCTCTCCCTTCCTCTCTGTAAAAAATCAATAAAATATATTTAAAATAAAAAAAAAGGAGGTAATGAAAGGCACAGAGGGTTTCAAGCCCCCAGCCACGGCATCCACCTTTTAGTACTTCTTCCGAAGGAGGAAGACTAATTTTCGGACTGCCTGGGGAGCATCTCCTCTCAAGGACAGAACTGATCAAGGGGGTTGGAGGCCAGAAGGATGTAATCCGTTTGGCTCCCAGAGTTTTCTCTTCAGAGAGAACCCCTGCCCCTATCCAACCCCCGAGATCCACACTTACCCATACCCCAAATCCCACCAGCTTTGCAGCCAGAGACCCCCCCGCCCCCTCAGCGACACACCTGTGGCCCTGCTCCACCTCTCCCTCCCACAGCCCCAGCTCTCACAGGGAAGCTCGGCATATGCTGTGCCAGGAATCCAATTCTTCCAGCAGGAAGGTCTACCAGGAAGGTCAGCCCTGGCCGGTGTGCTCAGTTGGTAGGAGCGTCATACCGTATACTGAAAGGTCATGGGTTCCATTCCTAGTCAGGGCACATACCTAGATTATAGGTTCGATCCCCGGCCCCAGTCGGGCACATGCGGGAGGCAACTGATCCATATTTCTATCTCACATTGATACTTGTCTCTATCTCTTTCTTTCTCTTTTTCCCTTCCCTTCTCTCTAAAAATCAATGATTTTTAAAAAAATATATTTTATTGATTTTTTACAGAGAGGAAGTGGGAGAGATAGAGAGTTAGAAACATCGATGAGAGAGAAACATCGATCAGCCGCCTCCTGCACATCCCCTACTGGGGAAGTGCCCGCAACCAAGGTACATGCCCCCGACCGGAATCGAACCTGGGACCCTTCAGTCCGCAGGCCAATGCTCTATCCACTGAGCCAAACCAGCTTTGCCGATTTTTTTTTAAATAAAAGGTCAGGTAGGCCAGCTCCCTGGCTCAAACAGATATGCATCTGATCCCTGCTTCCATATTAAATACCTACAGGTTTTATACAGCTTCTCTGATGTCAGGCCCATCACTGAATCACACGCACTAAGTCTTCCTCTTTTCTAACCTACATCCCCTCTGTGTGGCTCTCACTTAGTTCCAAATGTGTGGAGACAGAATAACTGCCTGTGTTTTCTTCTCACTCATACGGCCCTTCTCTAGTACCTTCTCTTTTTTTTTTCCTTTCTTTATTTATTTTTTCACGGAGACCCCCAGCACCTCGCAGCCCAGCTTGTGGAAGTCCGTGGCGTGCTCACTCTCCTAGAGTACATGCCCTTGACCAGAATCGAACCTGGGATCTTTCAGTCCGCAGGCTGACGCTCCATCCACTGAGCCAAACCAGCCAGGGCTCTAGTACCTTCTTAGCCAGATTACAGTGGCCTCACATGGCTCAGTCTTTCCTACTGGAACTTATCTTCCATCTCTCCCTTTCCTAGGCCTGCCCTGGACTTTCCACCAATTTGAAGCCAAAGCGGATACAAGAGTTACTAGAGGGCTCTCTGGGTCTTAGGCGAGCAGAGGGCCAGGGGCTAGGAGGCTGTGTGACGTGGTTAGATGGAGTGCGGTTTGCACAGAGGGCCCTGGCGTCCCCGATGCCGGCTCAGAAACCACCTGTGCAGTTGGTTCTGGTGACACACGCACACAGAGAATCCCCAGGGAGCACAGCTCCCACCACACACCCTGCAGACTGGGGATCTGAATGTGAAGAAAGTCAGGGTGGAAGAGGTGAGGCAGCTCGTGGCTCCTCTCAAAACTTTCCTTCCTAGAGCTGACGATTTCGGTGGCAGCGCCAGGGACCAGGAGCTGGCAACCAGCTGAATGGAACCTTTTGCGAAGAGGAAAGAAAGGTCTTGGCAGCGTGTGGATCTCTAACCCAGGAACCAACCCATGTGCCAGAGCAGCCACATCTCCTCTGTCTGGTCCACTTCCTGCTTTCTCCCCGCCACCACCACCTGGCCGTCACCACCCCAGCCTCAAGAACCAGCCCTTCTCGTTCAGATCGGCGGGGTTCCGTCCAACGAGCATGGTGGGTGGGAATGTAAACTGGTGTAGCCAGTAGGGAAAAACAGTATGGAAGTTCCTAAAAATATTAAGAATAGAACCATTGCCCTCGCTGGTTTGGCTCAGTGGATAGATCATCCGCCCGTGGATTGAAGAGTTCCTGGTTCAATTCGAGTCAAGGGCACATACCTCAGTTGCAGGCTGGATCCCCGGCCCTGGTCCGGATGTGTGCGGGAGGCAGCTAATCGAGGTAGGTCTCTCTCACATCAATGTTTCTCTCGCTGTCTCTCCCCTTCCCTTCTACTTTCTCTAAAAATCAGTGGAAAATATGTCCTCTGGTGAGGACTAACAAGCAAACAAACAAAAAGCACAGAGCTACCATATGACCCAGCAAGTCCTCTTCTGGACATTTATCTGAAGAAATCCAAAACAGTAATTTACAGAGACATACGTACACACCCCTTATTTGATTGCAGCATTATTCCCAGTAGCTAAGATACGGAAACAACGTGTGTCCTTCAACGGACGAATGAATGAAGATGTGGGACATATAGACAATGGGATATCACTCAGCCGTAAGAAAAGATGGGCAGACCACAAGAGGACACAGAGAAGACGGCCACGTACATGCCAGCAAGGCCTCAGACGAAACCAACCCCGCCGACATCCTGAGCTTGGAGTTCCAACTCCAAGACTGCACTGGGCCCCAAACAGTGGCCCTCGCTGATGTCCGGAGCCCCGATGAACCACTGGCCCTGCTCTAACAACAGGTCTGCAGAGAACACAGGCCCTCGGCCCACCTGACTGCTCGCACATCTAGAAAATGAAACGCACTCTTCATTCTGCCCTGTATTCCGACACAAGCTGGACACGAGGCAATCCTTGCTGAGAATCCATCAACTCCTCACACACAATCATGTTAAAGCTTCACCAGGGATTGTGTCACCGGAGGAGGTGGCTCTTGCAAAATAACCCCCTGAAGGCACAACCGCTGGCACGAGGGGACAAGACCACAGACTCCTCGCTATCTCGATGCTTGCATACCATCTCTATGGACTGCAAATGTTAAATGCTAACTATCCTGTGCCCACACTGTGAACAAAGTATGTGCCTCTCCGCTTTGTTCTTCATTCCATCTCACAGATTTCTCCTCTTAGCTCTCTCCCACCTCTTTCATCTACTACCACTGGATTTCAAGTGACCCTACTTATGTGGGTTTTTTTTTTAAATTATTCTAAATGCATAAAAAGAATTGCAAGACTGCCCTGGCTGGTATAGCTCAGTTGGTTGGGTATCGTCCCATGCACCAAGGGGTTGCCGGTTCAATTCCCAGCCTGGGGTGCAAGTTATGGGTTTGATCCCCATCATTGATGTTTCTGTCTCTCTCTCCCTTCTCCCTTCCTCTTTGAAATAAATAGAAAAATATATATAATAATAATAATAATCAATCAATAAATATAAAAAGAAAAGGACAACACATAGGATTCCACTCGTATATGGAATCTAAAACAAAAAAGTAACAAATGAACTAACAAAACAAACAAAAAACTCATAGACACAGACAACAGAATGTTACTTACCAAAGAGAAGGGGGTGTGGGGAGGGCGAAATGGGTAAAGCAGATCAAATACATGGCAATGGAAGGAGACTATACTTTTGGTGGTGAGCACAAAATAGAGCGCACTGGTAGAAATTATAATGTTGTACATCTGAAATGTATGTGTTAACCAATGTTACTGCAATAAAAAATAACATTTAAAAAATTTTAAAAAGAAAAGGAATTGCTTCCAGCTTCCTAGCCTTCCCGAGAAAGGCGGTGGGACAGGAATGCGAGGAAAGAGGAACTGAACTCCCTTATGAACCCTGGACCCCAGCTGAGGGGACCCTGAAGGAATTTTTTCACACACAAATTTCCCACCAGCACCACCCACATCAGAAAGAGAACCCCGACATTTCCCAAAGAACATCTAGGAGACCCTAGTCTCTGCGAAGGTACTGGAAGCTCCATGTGATGGAAGCCCCTCTGGGAGGAGGACGTAAGAACACGGGTGCGGGAGGGATGGGGACACAGCAGCCTCTCTAGTCTTGGCCTCTCCACCTGCTCTCCCTTCCTCAGGGCCTCAGCTTTGCTTCACGGGGCCATTTGCTTCCTGCAAACACGCGCACCTGCAAGAAGGCCCAGACTGCCGCCCGCTGAACCTGCAGACCCGCTTACCCAGCTCATGCCCCGTGGAATCCAGTTCTCCAGGATTCCTTCTGGGGCTGGGAAAACACCCTGCAGGAGACCAGCCCTTTAGGCAGAGTCCAGCAAGTAGGTCACCGCTGTTCCCACCCAGCTGAGCACCGAACCAGGACAGAACATGCTCAGCCTGGAGGACTCACGGGAGAGGAGAGGTAGGAAGCAGCACGGAGCCCTGCCTGGTCTGGCTCAGTGGATAGAGTGTTGGCCTGCGGACTGAAGGGTCCCAGGTTCGGTTCCAGTCAAGGGGACATGCCCAGGCTGTGGGCTCGATCCCCAGTGTGGGGCATGCAGGAGGCAACCGATCAATGACTCTCTCTCATCATTGATGCTTTTCCTCTCTGTCCGTCTCCCTTCCTCTCTGAAATCAATAAGAATATATTTTTAAAAAAGAAGCAGCAGCAGCAGCAGCGCAAATGCACCTCACACTCAGGTTCAGTGCTCAGGTTCAGTCCTGACACCCCATGTGCACTCCTCATGTGCTGGGCGGGGCTAACCCATCAGACTCTGCAAGAAGCAAGGAGGTGCTTTAAACACGGTCCCATCCCACGCAAGGGAGCAGGATGTATCTCAGGGTAACTGCAAAGGCATGAGAGCCCTGGCCGCGGTGCCACTCAGAGCCTCATCCTGATACACCAAGGTTGCTGGTTCAATCCCCTGTCAAGGCACATACAAGAATCAACCAATGAATGCATCAATAAGTGGAACAACCAATGGATCTCTCTCTTTCTCTCTCCTTCCTCTCTCTCTAAAAATCAATAATTTAGGGGGAAAGGCACTGGACCAACCAGAGTGCACCACATAACGTCAGTGAGACCATCCCCCCGCACATCCTCGCTGGGGATCAAGGCTCGGATTTGTAGGGAGTATCGCCAGTTCATTCAATGACAACAATCCTATGGTTGTTTTCTGGTAGCACCTTTCTTAGATATCTGAACGGCTGTCTCTCTTCTCCACAACAGGGTCCTCCTGCCTTTCAGAGATGCGGAGAGTGAGGACCACTACGGGTCACCAACTTTGCCCTGAGTATCACACTGGAAAAGGGCTCAGACAGCGGACACTCAGAAATAATAATCTTGCCCCCCTCCCCCCACACTCTCTCACCAAGCACACACTGGGCACAGGTGTGCCCAAGTCCTAGGACAAGAAGGACCCAGGGAATGAGTCCCCAAAACAATCCTACACACAGAGTACAGAAGGTGGGGCCAGCAGCTTGGTGTGATGGTGGTGTCCATGGGGAGGGTGGGGCGACTGCCTATCAGCCCAGGTTGGAGGGCCAATGGGCAGGGGACACGCTGTGTGGGAGGTGGGCTGCTGCCAGTGGGCAGCCACCTGCTTGGCATGAGGAGGGTGAAAGGAAATTGAGCAAAAAAAGCCAGTCAGCCAGCCAGCCAGCCATGTGAACCTCCAAGAAGCTGAAGACCTGT